CCCCAAAACCCCAAAACCCCAAAACCCCAAAACCCCATGATATCAATATATACTATTAAAATAAGATAAAAGATTTATAATAAATCCTCTAGAGAGGATATTTTGCTTTATAATAATTAAAGATGCTAAAAGTTTTAACTACTATTGCTACTGTTGGATTTGCACTTGCTTAAAAAGGAGCAATCAAAGTCAACCCTGAATCCAGACTCATGGAAGACGCACACAACAGATCAGTCTTGTTCCATGGTGTGAACGTTGTCTACAAAGTAGACCCGTACATCCCCTCCAACGACAAATTTGATCCTCAACTATCAATGACTGATGAGGATATTGACAATCTCGTAAAATGGGGTTTCAACTTTGTCAGATTAGGAGTCATGTGGGAAGCGGTTGAGAGATCTCCAGACGTTTTTAATCATACCTATCTCTAAGAAGTTGAGAAACTTGTCAACAAGATGGGGGAAAAGGGTATCTACACGTTGGTAGATGCTCATCAAGATGTGTTTGCCAGACATATCTGTGGAGAGGGTGTGCCTGATTTCTATGCCTCAGATGATATCCTTGATCATAAGTGCACTGGTGGACTCATTCCTTGGATAGCTACTCTAATTGGAGCTTGCAAGTCAATAAAAGACTATGGCTTTAGATTCGATTAAAACGGAGACCCCCTGATTGAAGATTGCTAGAAAAACAATTTCGCTGGCTACTATCCATCTCCAGAATCTGTATCTGGCTTCAATAGACTCTATGAGAATATTGGAGGTCTTTAAGATAAATTCATCAACTACTGGGAATATGTGTCTCAATACTTTGCTAATAACCAGTATGTGCTTGGCTACGATCCTATTAATGAACCATTCCCTTCTAATATTCTTACTGAACCTTCCCTTGTCTACCATCCAGGTAAATTTGACGAAGAAAAGCTCCAGCCATTGTACAAGAGAGCATACGAGAAATACTACAAAGCTGACAAGTCAAAGATCATGTTCTTTGAATCAGCTGAATTTCCAGATGAAATCGGCATTCTCGGTGGATTTGTTTTCCATCTTGGTTTTACTGAGCCTCCTGGTGGTGCTAACAACTTGACCACATAAGTACTCAATGATCATTCATACTGCTGCTAACTATCTTCAGATATTTGTGCCACTGGAGAGCCAAGTCTAGATAAAGCCAAAGAATGCAGAGACTGGCATGAAGATAGAATCAACACTAGATCTGAGGATGCTCAAAAATACGGTATCCCACTTTTCATCTCAGAATTCGGTGCTTGTCTAAATTCCTCATCCTGTGTTCAAGAAATAAAGTCTCTTACAGATGTGTGTGATGAGCATTTAGTTGGCTGGGCTTACTGGCAATACAAGAACTTTGCTGATCTGACCACTTCAGCAGGAACTGCTTCTGAAGGTTTCTTTAACAATGACGGAACTCTCTAAGATGCCAAAGTTAAGGCCTTAGCTAGAACTTATCTATAATCAACTCAAGGAGTCTTGAAAAGTATGAACTTCAATACTGAAAATGCAGACTTCTCAGCCTCATTTGTAGCAGACACCAGCATCACTCAACCAACAGTTATCTACTGGTCTCAAGAATTCTGGTATCCTCAAGGATTCTCTATGAAACTTACTGATTCAAAGGGGCAAGTTCTCGCTCTTGACACAGACTACAAACTTGATCAGTCAACACCCAACTACACAAAGGTCTAGATTATCAATTCAGCTCTTAACTAACAACTTATCAGTCTTACTCTTCACGCTAAATATATAGAGGCTGTTTCTGTTCAAGCTCTTATCCAATGATTAGCTATAATCTAAACATAGTTATATCAAAGAATCCATGAATTTTAAATCTTGATTTCATCATAACAATGAATCGTATAAATGCATTGAGAGGGGTTTTGGGGTTTTGGGGTTTTGGGG